GGGGTTAGGCAGTTGACGTATTGCGATCATGTCATGGCAAAAGTTAATTTTTTGTGTTGATCAACTCTCAGGCCTCATATTGATACAACATGTTTCTAAGACAGATAAAATGTATTTATTATAAGCACTTATTTCTTGGTAATTACGGATTACTCATATGTTTTTGAAGCATGTATAAAAAAAAGTTTAATGTACGGTACTTGTTAATTAAAACTAGCAAAACATCATTAACATAATTTATAAGCTATAAAACTGCCTGTAATTCTTTGCCTGAGGATGTTATTGGCATGTCAGTTCAAAGCAAACTGACATAGTATGCAAATCAGCAAGTTATACTCACCTGTTCACAATCAGGAGAGAGATTGTCTGAGTTATAAAACACACAGGGATTTATTCACTAAACTGAGAATTGTCAAAAATTGGCCACAGAATTTACAATTTTAGCTTAAAAGAAGCTGAATTGGAAAATTTCTCATCTTTTTTTTGCAGGGTAAAATAATCATATTGTATCCATATTTGAGTTGGAGAATGTTTTGAAATGAGCAGTTTTTGTCAAAAATTTGCAGTAGGATTTCCCATTCACTACAGTTCACTAAACGCCATTGTTTGTTCCCCGTAAAGGTGTAGAGAATCCGCTTGGGTTAGTGTAAATACTCATTTGACTCGGAGCAATGGCTGCTTGAAATTTCATTGTTTGGTCAGGACAGGCATGCTGCCATAGAAACTGTATGAATTTGACAATGCCCCTCACAGACATTCCAAAATTGCTTTCTTCCTTTTCTATGGTTATAGCTTCTGTTTACTATAACATTGCAATCTCATTATTATCGGATTGTTTTTGACCATAAATAAATTTTTTTAGAGATATGGTTTACTGTCACTTTAAGTGTTTCCTATTTCTCAAAAAAAACGATACATTGTTTACAAATTAATTTGAAAATTATTGAAAGAAAAAAATTAACCCTGGTTTTCTATTTACATCAAGTACTGTGTAATAGTTATCTCAATAACAAAGAAAATAGTTTTATAGTTTAGTTTGCTGTCCGCCTCTGCATCCTTGCAATCAGTCTGGTGTGATTATGAAGTTGTTTTTAGTATATATGTTTTACTTCATTTGGAATTGTCAGAGTATGTTTGAGCTGCTAATTTGAGATAAAGAGAAGACAGTTCATATTACAAATATAGTGATCAGAAAAAAACAGGTGTTAGAAACAGGATATCATAATCAAACCAACTGGGAATATACAGTTATAGAATGACATGGGAAGGATATTTAAACACTGAATTGTAAAGAATTGAAAAAAAAATGAAATGCAAGATTTAGGTTAAAGTAGGTAAACTCTTTTAGCTGCAGTAGCTGAGCTGTATTCTTATTTTTGCCTTATTTGCCTCCATTTTGCAGTTTCTAATTAACTCCACTCTCAGTTTAGTGAATAAACCATACAGTGATGTTCGTCTCCAGCCCCGAACGATGCTCAGCCGGCAATAATGATATTTATGCCTGATGTAACTCTTTGAGTGCCATAGATATAACCCACCCAGAACAATTGTGGTGTATGTGGTATTGCTGTTTGTAGAGTCCAACAACCTTTAACCCCTTAAAACTCAGCAATAATCTAGTTAGTTAAGATCATTTTGTCACATTTCAGTTTGGTATTTTATTTACCATGATTACAGAGCCCTGTTATTTTTAAATAGACAGGACACTCCAAGTTGGTGTCAATTCTTCAAGAACTGGATTTTTACGACATGGAATGTCATCAGACAGTAATGGGTTAACTTTGGTTACTGCACAGATAAAGTTATGCCAGTAAATGTAGCTCAAGGTCCAGTAACACTCCAAAAAGTTAGATTAATGTCTCTGTGTATTTATTGACACAACTTTAATATATATATCTGCCCTGTAGAATTAAAGCTACTGGAATATTAAATATATCATTTTCTCAGTACTCAATAACTGGCTGGTACAATCTGAGTACAGGAGGGGTGTTTAATCCCTTAAGGACACATAACGGAAATATTCCGGCATGATTCCCTTTTATTCCAGAAGTTGTGTCCTTAAGGCGTTAATCCACCATCCGGCAAAAAACCATCCCTCTAAAGAATGAATGGGTTAATTAATTTTCTTTCAGCTACAAGAAAAAGAAAATAAACAAGCCAAAAAAAAAAAATAAAACAGGCTTTGTTACAACTACTACTGAGAAATGGTTTCTTGCAAGTACTAATGCTTCAGTTCCCAAAAAAGTATTTTTTCTTGTTTGGTCTACACTAACAGCTGCTATATCTTGGATCCTAATTTCTATATAGAATGCTTCCTTACCAATCCATGCATCATTGCTTGTATGTTGTGTTTTAAATGATTCCCACCTAGACCTTTACCAGAGAATCTAAGTTTTGGGGGGATAAAACACAGTATTGTAAATATATAAACTGTAATACAGTTGCTTAATTTACCTAATGTAAAAAAAAACATATTTATTTGTTTCAAATGTTGTATATATTGTAAATTGTCTTAGCCTTTTTTTATTGTTTCATACGCTGTTTGTAAATTAGTTATTGTTTTAAAATGTACATTAAAATAACTTCTCTAAATGTGTCGAGTCTTTAAAATGAGCCTCTCATACAATAGGTGACATTTAGCATTTAACAGTTTAAATAAACTCAGTCTGGGATACATTTTACACTGGAGGACAATGCTGGGAGATAATCTGGTTTTGATTTAATTGTCAAAAAACAAATATAAAATAGATAATCTAAACCTATAGCTAAATTTTGAGATTAGTGGAGGTAGAGCTATAAGTCAGGTATTTTGGGCTAAATTTTGCAATTCAGGTTTCAATTCACTAAGGTGAACTTTAGCTGTTTATCCAACTTTGATAAGTGTGTCTTATCTTTTTTTTATTATAGTGTAAATTCCCTCCAAATCGCAAGTTGTAAAGGGCGGCCATTTTTGTTTGCATAGGAAACCGCAATAAAGATAGCTTAAGTGCTTTTATCTCAAGTAAGAAATAAAACAGAATGTTTCACAATAGCGCTGTCGAAAGATAGCTAAGTAGAATACCAGTTGTTCTCCTGTTTATATAACTCAACACAAGCCTCATTACCACAAAAAACACTGATTAGTCTCTTAGCTGATATTGTCCAACTACACACAATTCAGATAAGGTCTTTCAGAAAAACAAAATGGCTGCTTCATGTTACATCTTTTTCATTATTTGAGTAAAAGGAAATATTTGAACTTCTGTGTGGTGTAGGTTTCTATATTAGAACACTAACACTTTGCAATGGGGAGAATTTAAAAATACTAATTCTAACAGAGAAAACATCAATAGAATACTGTGATTGCCCCAGTATGGTATAAATCCTGTGGTATGGTACAAATAAAACATATATAAACAAAATTAAAATTACTAAAACATACAATAGTACCTACAATGTAAATATTATCAGGGTTTTTCACTGAAGTGTGAATTTGAAATTTCTGTCCTAAATGGGCAAATTGAAAATGTTTACATTTTAATTAATAACCCTTCTAAGAACTACAAATCACTTTTATTAAATTTACATTCAACTAATTTTTTTTTACTAATGAATTAAAAACATTATAGCAGCATCCAAACCATGTGCTGAGTGTCATATTTTATGTTTTTAAAGACATAAAATATAAACATTCAATTGAATATTCCTTTGGAATCTTTGAATATCCTGCACAGATCACTCAAGCTCGTGATGGGTTTTTACTAGACATGTGCAAAGCATCGGTTCGTCTATAAACAAATCCATTCGTCCAAATAAAAATCCTTTTAATCGACATCCGCATAAATCAATATCTGGGTAAATCAATACCATGTTTTCGAAAGTGGATTAAAAGGATTTTGATTTTGACAAATCGATTCTTTTATGGAAGACACAAGTTGTGCGCAAGGCTAGATTTTACTTTTAAGCAAATAGTTGGGTAAAATTACAGAAAGATTTATTCTCATATTTCCTTATACGTTAAAGGACCACTATAGGCACCCAGACCACTTCAGCTCAATGAAGTGGTCTGAGTGCCAGGTCAATCTAGGGTTAACCTTACCTGCTGTAAACATAGCAGTTTCATCCTCTAGTGGCTGTCTTCCGCGATTCTCACTGTGATTTTCACAGTGAGAAGACGCCAGCGTCCATAGGAAAGAATTGAGAATGCTTTCCTATGGACTGACTGAATGCGCGTGCGGCTCTTGCCGCGCATGCGCATTCAGCCGATGATGTCGGAAGAAGGAGAGGAGTCCCCAGCGCAGAGGGAGCCCGGCGCTGGAGAAAGGTAAGAATTTAACCCCTTCCTCCTCCTTCAGCTTGGCGGGAGTGGGACCCTGAGGGTGGGGGGGACCGATTAACACTATAGTGCCAGGAAAATGAGTTTGTTTTCCTGGCACTA